TAATTAAATTAAAATATCAAATAGATTTTTATATTATCTAAAACTAATAATATTTATTAATAAAAAAAAAAAGAAAAATAACATAAAAGAATAATATATATAAAAATCGAAAATGAGGTGTATGTTATATTGCAAAAGAAAGCACTTAGTATTTGATATAATCATACTTAGATGATTGTTTAAAGGGAATCATTTAATAAAATTAATCATTAAACACTTAAATTTTAAAATAAAATATTTAAAGTGTTATCATCTAGATGAAACATATCTATATAATACTGGTCACTTATAAAGATAGATGAAATTATTTAATTCTCACTTATTTTAAGTTATGATTTAATAGATTCTAATATTTCCTGATTATGAGGTGTGCTTTATAAAGATTCCAAGTATACTAAAGAATAATAAATTAATATACATTTATTTTGCTAAAGGATAGAAATTTCAGGACATAATTGTATAGCATGTTCCAAATTAGAAATTGCTTCATCGAAACATCCCAAGCAATATAAAATAAGTCCTATTTAATAAATTACTTTCGTACCTTTATTATTAAATAAAATATAGGATTCAGGTTGATTTTAAATGCCGATATCAATACTTTCTAATGCTTCTTCCAAACACCCCATCTTAACTAGAGTCAAACCTTAGATGTTAATATGTATTACTTTTTATATTATAGGCTGAAAATGAATAAGGATTAATTTTAATAGCATCATCCAAACACATTATAGCCTCTTTTGAAAGGTTTGTTGCTTTTAAGATTTATGCTATCAGATTCATTATAATTTTAACCTTTTATTAAAAAATTATTATAGTCTTCAGGATTGTTTTAAATAGAATAATTTATAGTCTCTAAAGCTACTTTATAATTTTTCATATTATATAGAATAATTGCTATTAAATTAAAATATGTTTTGTGCCTTTCTAAAAGTATGACATGTTAAAATTAGGGTTAATTTCAATTGCGTTATCACAAAATTACAAAGCTTCTTGAAAGCAGTTCAACATAGTTAAAGTACAAGCTAATAAATTAATAACAAGTTAAGCCTTTAATATGATAGCAATAATAGCTTTCAGGGCATTTCTATATTGCTTATTCTGATGTTTCTAATGCCTCTTCTAAGCGATTTAATTGTAATAGAATAATTACTGCTAAATTAATAATTTATAAAACCTTTGTAGATATAAAGTTTATACTCATAAAAGTTTAATTTAATACTATTATCCAAATCTTCTACAGCTTCATTGAAGAAACTCAATTTTTATAGTGTTTGAGCTATTAAATTAAATTCATTATTACCTCTTCCAAAATATAGTAAATAATTTTTAGGATTTTTCTAAATTAGAATATTATAAAGGTCTAATGCTTCTTAAACACGATTCAAAATTACTAAAACATTTGCTATTAATATAACTGAAGTATTACCTTTAAAGTAAAATAAGATATCATTTTCAGGATTTTTTTAAATAGCTAAATCAAATTAATTTAAAGCTTGTTTCCATTCTTATCGCAATGTTAATATTTATCCTATATTGTAGAGTATTATTCTAACCTTTCAATTGATAATTACTGGAGTCACATGGATTTAATTATATAGCTTTGTCTATAACTATGAGGGCTTCTTGATATTATTTTTAATAAAGTAAAATAAGGGCTAATTCATTTTGGAATTCCAACCTTAAATTTGATAATTTTCAAAATTTTCTGGATTTAACTTCAAATCTTAGAAAGCTTATTCAAAACGACCCAACCTTACTAAAAAGTATGCTATAAATATAGTAAATTTTAACCTTTTGTAAAGTAGTACTCATTTTTTTACGGATCTAATTAAATAGCTTTATCAATATAATCAATAGCTTCTTCATGCCGATTGAGATTATCCCTTTAAAATATTTAAAATAAATACCTTTATTATAATAAGGTAATGATAATTTAGGATTTATATTAATAGCTGAATCAATGTAAGTTAAAGCTTCACTATAATTATTTAATTTGAGTAAGACAAGAGCTAAAATTTAAATGGATACAAACCAATAGCATTATAAATTAGACAATCTTCCTAATTAATTTGCATCATATATTTTAAAATTTCTAAGGCTTCTTCATATCGATGCAATACTAATAGAGAACAAACTAATCCAATATTAATCACTACTAACCTATATTATTATAGAAGAGGTATAATTAAGGATTCATCTAAATTGCATAATTACCATATTCTAAAGCTTCTTCCCACCTTTACATTGTGATTAGAATAGATGCTAAATTAATCAAAATTTGCTCACCTTTAGCATTAAAATAATCAGATCTCTCAGAGTTAATTTTAATTGCTATATCAATATTGTTTAAGGCTTCTTCATTATTACCCATTAGAATTAAAATCATTACTATAATATTAGTACATTAGTTTACCTTTAATATAATATAAATCTGAAGTTTATGGATATAATTATATAGCAGAATTTATCGATTCTAGAGCTTTTTAATCTTAACCCATAAGCAATAGCAATAGTGCTGAAATAATTTAATAATTTACACTTATTTAGATTGGTTAATGGATTTTGAATGGATAACTATGAAATATAATCTAGAATTTCTAAAGCTTCTACAACTCTACCCATCCTCATTAATGTCGATGCTAATTAAAAATAAAATCAACCTTCAGAATTATAAATTACAATAGCATTAAATAATAATTTTTCTCTAGCTATTTAGTAAAAATACTCAGCCATTTCAAATTGGTTAAATGAATCTAAAGCTTAAACTATTAAATTAAATTGAATTTTTTGCTTAATGTTTCAAATTTTTCATATTCCTGATAGTTAAAAATGATTGCTTAATCAAAACATTCCACAGCTTCTTCCAACTAATTGTTGAGAAATAGCGTAATTCCTAGAAGGTTATTGTTATTTTTACCTTTATTACTATAAGCTATAGGACTGTAACAGTTTAATTAAATAGAAATATCAAATTATTTTATTGCATCTAAAAGATTATTCTTCATAAGTAAGGCAGTAGCTTAAAAAATGATTCAAAAAGATAAACCTTTATTACCACGAGGAAAAGGATTTTCTGGATCAAGATCAATTGAAATATCAAACTATTTTATTGCACCTTCAAAATCAAGCATCTCCATTAGAATAATCCCTAATTGTAGATTTATTAATAACCTTTTTTTTCATAAAACTAAGAATTATAAGGATCAGTTTAAATTGCTTCATCAATTTATTAGATAGCTTCTATTAATCTGTTATCATTAAATAACTCAAGCCCTATTATCTTTAATTGTATGAATAACCTTAATAATAAGAGTCATATCCTGGTCTAGTATCAAATTATTTTATTATTTCCAAACCTGGGGTTGGGGTTGGGGTTGGGGTTGGGTTTGGTAAAGCCCACATAACGTTATATTTTTTCATATATAT